TGACGCGAGTACGCGTCTGGCGCCCAAAACTACATCGAAGAATTCGTCAACTCGGTACAGTGGTTGCTCGGTTTAACACCTTTTTCTTTCCTGCCTGTCGAGACGTTTCCTATCTCGCGGACTTCCGTCCGTGTCCCGATCTCGTATCTTTTCGTTTCGGGCGGGACGACGCGGGAATTTTCGTTATCATCAAGAAAAACGTCACAACGCATTTAAGATCGCGATACCGAGTACGGTTGTGAATAACGCGTCTTGTGTGTAACCTTGTAACACAGAAAAAATTGTTGTACTAAAACAAGTGTTAATAAACTTATATAAACTTTCCAAACATTAAACTTTGTGTGTGCAATTGTTTTCCACCACATCATCTTGAGGGGACAGAGACCGTATCAGAAATCCGTTGTCAGCAACTATCGTCCGGAATTCATAAGCTGAGGAGATCCAAATGCGAGGGCGGCAAGGTCGGATTTAGTTTGTCTGGTGAGTCCGTTCCTAAAACACTAAAAAGTCATATCCTTCCTACTTGGTTGGTTAAAGTAGGTGGCGACCGAAAGTCAGTACGCGAAACATAGTCCCTTCCGGTCACAACTGTACCTAAGTTGATTTGCCCGACTATTGTAAATATTACATTCACGCTCCCTTAGCACATCATTTACCTTACTATACTTCCTCTTGCGTGGAGCTCATGTCTTGTCTCGGTTAAAATTCGTCTATTCCGTGTTTGTTAACAATTGTCTGATTTGGGATAACAAAACTAACAATTTCAATTTTGAGTAGAAATCCACCAATCGTTCCCTTGACGCTAGTCTAGCTTCTCGGTCAAGTTTAACCAACAACTCCGGTTGACAAAGAGTTTTTACTAATCTTTTTCTTTTTGTTTTAGGTGACCGCCGCGGGACCCTTAGGCTGACCCGGCTCCATCCGGACTTTGTGGAAAACTTAAATGCACGTAAGTACAACGCTAAACCTCTGTTTAACAACCAAACTCCTTTTGTTACTTTCAGACTTAAGTTTTCAACAAGTTAGTCCAGAAACACCTGTTACCCGAAAGTTAGTCTCCTAATCCCACCGAAGTCAGTAGACCTAACTTTTCGTCAACTTTTGAATTTTGGCTCAAACTTTTGTTTTTCGTTAAAAACGCACGCACAACTCGATTTCAGGGTTTCATTTATCATTGAACTTGTTAGTTGCACAAACTTCGTTAATTCTGTAAAATGTCAGTTTCGCGAGTAATCCCTAATCTCGTAAGATCACTCTAAAATAAAACAAAATAAAAACTTAAAAGAACACTATCACTTTTTGATTACGTTACAAACGGCATTACGCACCCCGAGCTCAAAACCAGGTGCTTACACACAACGCACCCGTGGTTACTTTAACTCGCTCCCTTAAACCAAAAACTTTTGTTGACCGCCTTTTAGGTTGTTACTTTCGGTCGTTACCATCTTCCACGCCGGCCTGACGAGGTCCGATGCCTCCTCTGTGCTGGAACTGCAGCGTCCAAGCCCGTCGGTTGCATTACCCTCGCCATTCCGAGACTTGAGGTGGTGATAACTCAACTCCCCGGGTGTCGGGATTTTCCTGACGCATGCCGATGGTGATTGGATGTTACCGTGACAGCCACCACCGTCAGTCAGTTTGTTCGTCCTTTCCACGAGTTAGATCGTAGCAAGGACCCCAACGGCCGACGGTGACAGGTCCACCCAGAAATGCGCACACAAAATTTCAGTAACAATTTGCTTCTCAAACGGAAACCGGAGGTAACCCAGGTATGATACTCTAAACTATCCTAATTGTTGTAAATTGTGCCTTCCCTCCAACCGGGGAGACCTTCCAAACACTTTCCAAGTGTTTTTGTTAACAATTCGTTTCTTTTATTTTGTAGATACACGGCAATCCTATCTTATACTACAAAAATGAAACTTATCCATTGTCGCTGATATTAGGACTGAAGGTTCTTACAACGGTTTACAACTCGCACGCAAAGTCTTAGCCACAATTCACAATTTTGCCGCAACTTCATACCTGGTAGGTGTCAACTTTAACTACCCCAATTGTTGCAAATTCCTACGTCTTCTTACACTAAGGGACCTACTGAGTTGACCCCAGTAGATCCAAACAAGAACTACGATTTCTTACTTAAACGTCACTTTAAACGGGTGACCCCCTCAATTTGGGCCATCCAAAATAAAATTTTCCTGAGTGGACTTTAAAACAATAAAAACGCAAAAGAACTAAAACGGAACAGACTTTCCATGCACACTGCAAAACAGGGCCTTACGCACCCTGCTGCAAATCTCAAAATAAAACAAACTACTGATTGGACTGATTGTCCCTGTACACGCTTTTGCTTTCTGTCTCAACTCTTCACCTCGTTGATGCTGATCTCTTTTTTCTAGCACCAGCTTCTTCTTCTGGTGAGCGTCGATGTTGGAGGTCCTTTCTTTCTGCTAGACGCCGCTCGCAATCCTGGAGCTTAGCCGCCGCTGTGGAGACAGCCGCATCAAACAGTCGATCCATCTCTGAATCGAGTGATTCGTTCAGAATCCGGACGACATCAACGCCGCTCCCCGAAGCCTCCGGTCGCAGGGTATTCGGGGTCTTTCATATGTGAGATGCAAATCCCGCATCCCGTATGAATTTAAGAATTCAATTTTCAATTCAAGAAACTTACTTGTAAATATTTACAAGTAATACTTGTTATAGATGTATACATATATGTATGCACGTTCAAGTTCCCGCTCAATATCCTGGGATTGGCTCGTATCGGCCTTATATTATTCCATCTAGCATATGTTCTTCAAAAGTTAAAAGAAGCGGGATTTCGGTTGAATAAAGATAAGTGTCAGTGGGCACAAAATGAAATAACGTTCCTAGGGCATACCTATTCGGAAATTAAGGCTTCAATTAATAAGGAGACAAGAAACGCGGTTAAAAACTTTCCAGTTCTGCGAAATAAAAAGCAGTGACAATCATTTCTGAGTACGGTAAACTGGGACCGACGTTTTATAAAAAATCTTGCTGAGATAATCGAACCGTTAAACGCGTTGTTACTAAAAGACGTTAAATTTGTTTGGACTAATATTGAGCAACCAGCTTTCGATCAAGTCAAACAGGCGTTCAACCAAGCGAAGGATCTTTTCTTGTTAAAAAAGGGATACAAGTTTGGTATTTATATCGATTACAGGTTTGGGCGCGAAACTTTACCAGTATTTAAACAGTGATCCTGATCAAACTTTTACATTGGCTTATGCTAGTCGAGGTCTGAAGAGTGCAGAAAAAAATTATGCAATTACTGAATTAGAGTGTTTGGCTCTGGTTTGGGCGTTGCATAAGTGGCATTCAGTTCTGATGGGCCACAGGGTGAAGGTGCACACCGACCATTGTGCACTTAAGTTTCTTAGCACGTGCACGGAAAACACCCCGAGAATTGCTTGCTGGTTTGCTTTTATGCAGGAGTTTGATCTCGAGATTTGTCATCTTGCTGGTAAGCAAAATAGCATAGCTGATGCGTTGTCACGTAGTTTCGCGAAAACTTCGGCTAAACGGCGCGAAGACAAAGTTAAATTCGTCGCGGTAATTAGTTCACCGCGTGATGGTGCTAATATTGACAGTTTAGTCGACTTGATCCGCAAGGCGCAGACAAATGACCCTAGTTTAGCAGCGTGGGTACGTGAAAAACCAGAGGTGTTTGTTTCCCGAGAAGGCATAGTTCGCCAACGCGAACGCGGTCTCGAACGTGTGCTTGTACCTGAGTCAGTTGCATGGGATGTAGTAAGTATTATCCATCGATATCTGTTACATTTTGGTACAAAGTCACTGATTTTGTTAACCGATATTTTGCAGTTTTAAACGTGGATAGGATTGTCAGAGATGTGGTTGCGTCATGCCATGTTTGCATGGCAACGAAATATTACACCCGCGCCACCGTTGGCGAGTATTACTACGAAATTCCGTCTAGACCGGGTAGAGTAGTGTCACTAAGTTTGTTTGGGCCGCTACCGCAAACAGCAAACGGCTACAAGTACATTCTGGTACTGTGTGATCAGTTCTTGAAATTGACTAAACTTTATCCATTGAGAAATCAAAAACTGGAATCGGTCTGTCAGGTTTTGTACGAGCAGTATTTGCCTCAAGTGGGTACACCGGATGAAATACAGATAGGGGAGGTCAGTTCATCACGGACCGTTGGGCGATGTTCGGAGCAGAAAATGGATTGAGGACCAAACAAACTTCCCCGTACAATCCACAGTCCAATCCTGTAGAGAGAGTAATGAGGGAGATTGGTCGCGTTATCCGGGCATACGCACATGGTCGCCATACCACCTGGGATCAAATCGTGGAAAGATTAAAAAAAGTAATCAATGTCACGACTCACAGGAGCACGGGCGTGCGACCTGTGGATCTTCATTTTAACGTAGAGTATCCGAAGGACATTCCTGCAGTATTAGTGCCAGACAGCGAACAACAACCAGAAATTCGCCATCTGATTGAGCAAGCAGCGGAAAAACTTGCCGAAAGACAAAATTTTCGGGTTCTAACCCTGAAAGTCGTCGTAAAGCTTAACATTCACTGAAAGTTGAATTATTGTTGAAACTGCGTGTACGTACTGTTCTTCTTTGGAATTGGCGTTCAGGCGAATTTCATCAATAATTCAAAAGGTTTAGGGTCCTCACCCTGACAGCGTCGTCGAGCCTAACCCTCACGGAAACTTGAATTATTGTTAATACTTGGCGTGCGTAAAAAGCATCTTTTGTACAGACAATACTGCAAGTTTAACAAATAATTGACGCTTCGTACTTGTTTTGGATCTGGTAGGCTCTGAAGGGCTGACAACACCTGTAAAACAAAAACAAGATTAGAATTATGAGTGATATTTCGAAGATAGAAAGAGCTTTGATGGAAAAGGCTCCACACTATATATTTTCAATAATTGGTGCGTTAATAAGTTTTGGTACTTACTTATTTGGGATCCTTATCTATTGATGACTCAGTCTGGAACAAAAACAAAGGATAATGTAAAGTCTATAAAGAGCCATCGCGTGATGTTGTGCGTGAAAATATGACTGTGCATATACATATACAACAGACGTACTCACATTTTTCATGTGAGTTTTTTTAATTAAAATTTTAATTCTATAAATTCATATAGGATGCTAGTTTTGCATCACGTATACAAATGACCCCGAATACCCCCCTAACTAATTTTAAAATATTGCGAAAAAATACTCCTCAGCCAGAAGTCGAACCTGGAATCTCCGGTTTTCCGGGCCGTCGCCTTCCCTGTTAGGCTACCGAGGTACTTGGAGTCTCTCTCGCAATATTACATACATGTTGAGATGTTCTGATATACAGCCTTTTTCGACAGGCGTTAAGTTTAAAGTAAATAATTGAGAATCATCTCGGGCTCTGCAATCTGTTTAAAGTTAATATAATGTAATGTCTATAAAGAGCTATCGCGGAATGTTGTGCGTGAAAATATGACTGTGCATATACATATACAACAGACGTACTCACATTTTTCATGTAAGTTTTTTTAATTGAAATTTCAATTCTATAAATTCATATAAGATGCTAGTTTTGCATCACGTATACGAATGACCCCGAATACCCCCCTAACTCATTTTAAAATATTGCGAAAAAATACTCCTCAGCCAGGAGTCGAACCTGGAATCTCCGGCTTTCCGGAGATTTATAGACTTTACATTATATTAACTTTAAACAGATTACAGAGCCCGAGATGATTCTCAATTATTCACTTTAAAAAAAAGAGTTTTGAATTATTGGCGAAACTTTGGGAATGAACTTCTCGAGTGTTGATGAGACTTGGCTGATGGAAAATTTCAATAATTAAAATTTACAAAATTGTGTTAACTTTGTGAAAAGTTGTCAATTATGGATAAAACTTTGTCAGTAGACATGGTTTAAATCAAAGAATAGTTCAGTGAAGTTTAATCAATAATTCGGTAGGTTTGTTCTTAAAGCGGGTTGCGCGTGCGCGAACACCAAGGAGTGGGGAAGGCGAGGTTTCTTCCTGAAGCCGCGCTCTCCTCACGGCAGTCTGATACGGGCGCCCAAACTAGTAAGACGCCGTAATAACGTATCTTGCTCAGTCATTGAGCAGTTGGAATGGAGCGCTCAAGAGAGCATAGCGTTGTAACAACGAGTCCTGCTCAGTATAACGTATAGTGTTGTACGATCGTTCCGAAGAAGTCGGACCTAGAAATATCGTCTCGCTAAAAGTAATGTATATCGCGACACCGGAAGAACCGGTTGTTAATAACGCGTTGTATATTTATATATCCTGTAACACAAAAAATTGTTATTTCTTTTTAACAAGTGTTAATAAACAGTTTATAAACAGTATAACCATAAACTCAGTGTGTGATTCGTTCTCACGACTTGAACTCGGTTAAAATCTGGGACGTACCAGTGGTCCATTGTCCAATTCAGTCGTCCAGGGTCCAGAATCGAAGGAGATCCAAAGGCAAAGGCGGCAGATTCGGATGTTTGTCTATCTGGTGAGTCCGTTCCTGAAACAGACCAAAAAGGCTGTATCCTTCCTGCTTAGTGGTGAAAGCAAGTGGCGACCGTAAAAGTCAGTTAAACGGCTTAACCGTCCGGTCACAACCTAACCTAACCTTGTGACCTGACACCCAGGGAACACCAACCTGCGATTTCAGAGACTTTAGTGTTAAGGCCGTTTAGTTATTAAGGCGTTTGCGCAAGTTATATAAAGGACTTTTATGTGTAATTACATACGTGTGTTTAAGTGTAGTAGGTAGAGATAAGGGCGGCAAAGACTGCGGGTGGACCAGTGTTAGGTACAAAAGCAGAAAAGCAAGTTTTATTTTTTTTTGTGTCTGTTTTTTGTTTTAGTTTTAGTTTTAGTTTTGTTGTTTATTTGCGGGCAGTGTTGTTGTTTTGGTAAGGATTGTTTGAGAGAGATTAAGGACGAAAGTACATACCAGTCATACGGGGACCACACATACATCACACACATGCACTCACAATGCTTATCCTAGACATTCACGACACAACACTAGAAAACTCAAACACTCACCTTAGCAACCATTCATACACCATACAGACAGGTATCACACACACATCATCCAAACAAGTTTACGACGCTTAAGACACAATTTTAGTCTACACTACACACATACTCAAACACGCACTTAAGCGACCATTCACACATCAAACAATTAGGTACCACCCACACATCACACACACAAAGTTTTAACGCTTAAGTCGCAATTTTAGTTCACACCACATACACACTCAAACACACACATAAAAGAACATTTACACTTCATAAGTTCAGGCGTCACACACACATCACACACACAAAGTTTTAACGCTTAAGTCGCATTTTTAGTTCACACCACATATACACTCAAACACACACATAAGCGAACATTTACACATTACAAGTTCAGGCGTCACACGCACAAAGTTTCACGGCTTAAGTCACACTTTTAATTCACATCACATATACACTAAAACATA